AGAGAGAGAGAGAGAGAGAGAGAGAGAGAGAGGAGGGGGCTTTAGCAATAGTTTATAATGTTAATGTTAATAGCCATACCAACATTTTTCTGAATAATGGAAGTGAACACTGTCAAGTTGTGAGTCCGATGTGTGTTGTGAGTCCCCGTGCGGGATCTACAAAGGTGTGCTACACTAGAGACCAGTTATTGTCTGTAAACAAAAAGACACATGACATTTCATATGAAACGGCCGTTTGCTTGTCTCAGCTTGGCCTTGAAAGATCTAAAGACTCAGCCAGCAAAGTTAAGAAATACAAGAGGAGGAAACGAGGAGGTAGAAGAAAACAAAGAGCAATCACTGTTGTCACAGGGAATAGGTGTGTTAGTTTAAATGAACCTCGAAGCGTCATTACTCCCATGAACTTAATTGCCGTTGACACAAAAAACACCGAAACTGAATTGTCAAGTAATCTTAAAATTATTCTACTGAACACACAGTCAACCTAAAAAAAGACCGTTTTACTCAGTGATTTAATACTTGAGTCTAACTCCGATATCGCATTTTTTACGGAGTCATGGTTGCGGAACATCGGAGATGAAATCATTATAGCCGGCCTAACTCCACCGGGATACAAGTCCATCTCCGTCCCAAGAAATGGTCGTGGGGGAGGGATATGCGTAATTTATAAAGGATCTCTAAACATCACTCCACAGAAAATGCCCTCCTTTAAAACGTTCAAATGTTGTGAGATCAGTCTACATATCAAAGGGTGTCCCGTCGTTTTTGTCTGTGTCTAACGACCACCTCCAAGCAGGAAAAACAAACTGAAAATTAAAGATTTCATTACTGAATTCCAGGATTTACTAGACATGCATACCACCAAGAAGACACAGCCTATAATTTAAGGAGACTTTAATTTACATTTTGAAGATAACTTCGACACTAATGTTAAAGCTATCAAATCTATTCTAGAGACTCGTGTTGATGTCCCCACTCACATTAAAAAACACACATTAGATTGGGTGATTACGGACAGTGTCAATAAAATCGGTGAAATTCAAGTAAAGAACAAATGCATTTCTGATCACTACGTGGTGTCCTTTGAAATAACTCGTATAGGGAAGCCCAAACCGAGACACCGCAAAATTACAACCCGGAAAATGGACATTGATAATGAAATGTTTGGAGCGGACATTCGCCAGCTTCTAAAATTCATACACGGTTCAACCTCCGAGAAGGTAGATATTTTCAACACCAAGATGTGGGAACTACTAAACAAACATACACCGGTCAAATCCAAAACAGTGACTGATCGACCTTCTGCCCCGTGGAATACTTTTGAAATTGAACAATCTAAAATGGAACGTACACGAGCTGAAAGACGCTGGAGATCAACAAAGCTGAAAATTCATGAGGACATTTATAGAAACTGTAACAACATAGTGAAATCGTTAATAGCATCTGCCAAATTTATGTATTATAACGGAAAAATTAATGAATGTACCACCTCTAAAGCTTTATTTTGTATAACAAATCAGTTGTCTGGTAAGAAAG